TACACATATTATGTTTTTATAAATAATATTTTAGTTAAAATATATAAAATAAGAATTGATATATATTATATATATATATATTATATATATATATATATATATATGTTTTTTTTTTGGATTTTAACAGTGATAAATGTTAGTGTCCGATAGTATATATATATATATATATATATCTATATATATATATATATATATATATATATATATATAATATATATATATATATAGGGAGATGATCAAATGAGAACACTTAAAAGGTTGAGAACGCGAGAACAGTTCTGGACCAATCAATATATAATGGCATATTAGTAACTCTATATTTTAATTAAATTAAAATTAAATCAAATTCAATCAAATTCCCTTAAATTTAGGATCGTTTACCAAAAAACAAAGAAATATTCAAAAAAAATTTATTAATGGAATATAAAAAATGTTTTTAGTCAAATTTATTTAAAATCTTAAAAAAAATCTTAAAAAAATCATTTTATTCTCCCATTTCACGTTTTTGTTTTTCAAAAAAATGAATAGAAATCCAATTTCAAATCAATACACTTGTATTCACAAACGAAATGTTTCTTCAAAAAACCAAATACTACTCCAATCACAAATGAAGACACATCAAATTACAAATAATTCAATGCCTTTTTCATCAATTGAAATGAATACACTACTATTCATAAATAAATACAATCATTTATACATTAATACACTTCTATTCACAAATTAATACACTGCTATTCATAAATTAATACACATTCTATCATAAAATGCATACCTCTAATCATAAATAAATACACTCATTCACATGAATACACTAAAATTCATAAATACGTACAACCATTCACACATGAATACATTGCTATTCATAATTAAATATACTGATATTCATAAATAAATACAGATTCTATCATAAACAAGTACAATACCCTTATTTAACAGAACATGCAAAAACCTTCATAAATCTGAATTTGAAACCTTTCATCAAACAATCCCTTCACATCTTCAGAAAAACATTTCTCTCTTTCTTCCTTATAAACCTCACCATCTTTTGAAATTAAAGGAAGCCTCAGTCTCAGAGCAGCTTGAAATGTATTCCGATTGAAGGAAGAGCAATTTCATTTTCTTGTGTCGTTTAAGATGGATGTCCGATTGCAATCTTAAGAGAAAGGTGGAATGATTTCATCTTCGGAAATGATGAATCTGAGTTCTGGAAAGAATAATGTGGGTGTGAGATTATAACTTAAGAACTTTAGATTATTTGACAATAAAATAAGTGAACAAAAGGTTAATACAACCTTTATTTAATTGTCTTTTAAAAGTACAGGATGTCCAAATTCATCCATGAATCATCCAAAGGCAAGTTTAATTGGTTAAACCACTCCAACCATCAAACTAAACCAAACGACCAACAATTGATGCTACAATTGAAATGAAATAAGCGAACAAAAGAAGGAAGGATTTCACCTGTCTTCAGCAATGATGAATCTGAGTCCCAAATCTGGAAACAATAGCTAGTTCGAAAGAGAAAGACAGAATGATTTCATCTTCTTGTGTGTTTCAAGACGGATATCCGATTGCGATCTGAACCAGGTACACACCTCCCTTTCGGTTTTCCATGAATCGATTGGAGGTCCGATTGAGATCAAATTACAGGAGGCCGATTGGAAATCTTCTTGCAGGTCCGATTAGGGCTACGAAAATCGAATGTGCGGTGGAGGTAGGCTAAGAGATGAAGATATCTTGAACATTGATGGGTTTCTCATCTTGAATCGAAGATGATGATGGAGGTTGATGGTTAAACCCAATGCTAGCGATGGTGGTGGATCAATGATGTAGGGTTGTGCAAAATTGGTGGCGTAGGGATGAGATGATAATGATGATGATGAACAGATGGAGACGGTGGAGGCGTACCTAGGTTTACAGAGAGATGAAGAGAGAGACGGGAAATGGAAGGAAATAGGTGAGTGATTGAGGAATTATAGGAATTAACTAACGGTGGTATAGGTCCAATCACTATAATACCCTTATCACCATTTAAAGTTACACTTTAATACCTATAACTTTTAGAATTTTACATAAATTGCTCGTTTGATAATAGCCTTAGATTTAATTATTTAAATGGGCCAGATGTGTTCTCGCGTTCTCAACCTTTTAGGTGTTCTCATTTGATCTCACTCCTATATATATATATATATATATATATATATATATATATATATATATATAGAGAGAGAGAGAGAGAGAGAATTTTTGGACATTCAGTTCTTATGATCGGTTATTGCAGATAACCCAGAAAAACGACTTAATAGGGTAATATATTTCTTATTGTATACACATTTAGTCATTATATTTTTTATTGCAAAATAAGTCATTATTGTTTTTGTACCCATTAAGTATTTAAGACTGGTTTTTCAGGTTTTGCTCACAACATCCTACGTGGGACAATCATTAATGAGGTGTTCGAGGTTGTTGATGCTTATGGCCACAACGGGCTCGGCTACTTTGTTGCTTAGGTTTTGTGGTTTGGCGTAGGTATTGTGTTTTGAACACCGTAACTTTTTCATATGATCTCGGATTTTAACGATCTTTATATATGTGTGTTCGTATTTGAATTTACTACAACTTTCGTTTAGATTACTCTTGTTAAAAAATAATATATTTTTACTTACGAATTTATAAAAAAAAACATTCACACATACATTCATATAGAACGCGTGTATTAGGGATGAGCAAAGGAACCGACCCGGCTGGAACCGGGTCGAACCGGAACCGGCCCGAGAACCGAACTTGATGGAAAATAGGAACCGAACCGGACCACCGGTTCTACCGGTTCCCGGTTCCTACCGGTTCTTGTCGTGTCTTCAAATGTTGGAACCGGTCCTCGAAAAATAACTTCATACGGTTCCGGTTTTTGCCGGTTCTACCGGTTCCGGTTCCAAAAATCCACAAAAAGAACGTCCCGGTCCCGGCCCGACCGGTTCAATCGGGTTCCGATTCCGGTGCCGGTTCCGGCCGGTTCCCCGGTCCATATGCTCATCCCTACGCGTGTATATAAAGATCGTAAGTAAAAATATATTATTTTTTAATGAGAGTATTCTAAAAGAAAGTTGTAGTAGACTCAAATACGAACACCTCATTAATGATTGTCCCACGTAGGATGCCGTGAGCAAAACCTGAAGAAACTGGTCATAAATAATGAATGTGTACAAAAAACACAGACTTATTTTGCAACAAAAAAAATATAATGACTAAATGTGTACAAAGTGAGAAATATATCACTTTCTAAAGTTATTTTTCTCGTCTTACATGTAGTAGCTAGTCATATGGACTGAATGTAAGTTTAAATAAGTTAAAGGATAAATGTAGACAAAAAAAACTCAGTGACCAACCGTGTACAAATCAAAAAGTATATTACCCTTATACAGACATTGATCATCAGGTCTCTTAAAAATATGATGGTCTTATTTGAACTTGTATATACCACTTGAAGTTTGCTCTTTTTGAATTTGAAACTCCTTCCAGTTTGAAATGTTTAAATAATCGTTATTATTCCAACTAAGCAAGTAACCAACCAATTGTGTGATTTGAACAAAACATATACTTAGATGGTATTATGTGTGCAAAAATCTTACTTTACTGGTATTTTTGCACTGACTAAACTTGTATGATGTTTTTTTTAACAAATTTAAAATATAGTTTCCTTAATACATTTTTCCGATTGGATAATATTAGCCGATAACATTAACCTAATAAGTCTGGTTACCATATGGTGTAATTTGAACAAAATGTGTATTTTGATGGTAATTTATGTACAACAACGTTAATTCATGGGTATTTTTTATACCGGCTAAACTTGAATGATATTTTTTGAATAATTTTGAAGCTTAATTACCTAATAAATCATTTTCCCTAAATTTTTCGCCTTACTTCGCCTTAGACTAGGTATATCTGCTATAAAAAATGAGCCATAAAATTTAAATTTAGAAGCCTAAATCATCACTTTAAGCTACCTCTCTATTGGGCCGGCCCATGGATCGTAAGCATAGTATTATTCAAAGACTCTCAAATGACCTCTTCTCATAATCGGATATTCTCATAATTATAATGTATTTAACCCTATTATAATATAATAAATACAATTTGTAATATTCTTATAAAAATATTAATAAGTTTTTAAACTCCGCAATAGTAATCTTTTAAATAAGATATTACAAATATTATGTTTTTATAAATAATATTTTAGTTAAAATATTTAAAATAGAATTGTAACATATATAATTTTAATTTTAATTTTTTTGATTTTAAAAGTGATAAATGTTAATGTCCAATGATTTATTATTATTATTTTTTTTAGTTAGGGTTTAAGATTTAGGGTTTTGCTGTATTCGAATTTGAAATTCCTTCCAATTTGAATTGTTTAAATAATCGTTATTATAGTCATTTTCAAATTGAAAATTTGCATTAAATGGCAAACACTTATCATATTTTTAATATAATCATTAAAATTAAAAACACCATTAAAACCATCGGTATATACAAAATGAATTAAGTGATCACTTTCAGAAAACCCGTTGATATTGCTTAATAGTTATGATGATGATTTTTCAAACCATAAAAGAATTTTATGACCATAATAATTTTAAAAAATATCTGTTAGTACTTAGTAACGAATGTTATAAATTGAAGTGATCAAATTAAAATAAAACACAATACTATTTACTACTATTTAGCATAATTTTCGTTCAACCCAGATTAAACCACACCAGACTACGGTTCACTAAATCCAGTCCAAACCATCATCAAATTGTCTTCTGCTGGTCGATTCTTTGAGAAAATTAGTTTATTTAAGCCATAAATGACTAATCCATGGCAATGTGATCCAATTCACCATTAAACGTATAGATTGAAAGAAAATCTTAAAACAAACTATTATATAGTATATACAATACATGAGATGCCATCAAAGTTTAAATATGAACACCAAATTAAGCACATGCTGCTTAAATGTCTCCATGAGATCCATGAACAAGAATCTCCCCTTCATTACCCAATGGCATATACTGTGCCATGATGGCCCTGATCTCCGAGTCCATGTATCTCTGCATTAAGATTACACATATTAATTAGTTTCATGAAAGTGGAAAAATAGTAAAAATAAATACAGGGAAAAGGTAAATGTGTACTCGAACTCTGTATTTGTAGAACGTATATCCAACAACTCCAATAGCTACCACACAAGAAGAACAATCCATGCAAAACCCCACCCACCACTTGTAGCAACATCTTTACCTATTTCCCATTTATCAATTGCAATATGACATGTATATATTATAATTTTAATGCTTATTTATGCACAAACTCACTTTTCTACCAATTTATGTAGCGATGTTTTATTTTTTACCAATAAATTAACAATGTTTCACTTTTTACCAATTTATGTGATTGACACGAATCATGCAATCATGTTTTACAGGCAAAATGTAAATATATTGGAATACTTACTTAGACATGTGTTATGTTCTTTAAAGTAGAGCAAATTGCCACTGCAGCTACACTCGTAGCTTCCCCATGTATTCTTGCATTTGCAGTTGGGACATTGACACGCTATCTTCTCTTTGCATTCATCAATATCTGAAAACATACACAATGACAGTGACAGTGACAGTGACAGTGACCTTATCGACTGAAAAAAAAAAAAAAAAAAAGTTAAGGATGAAGAATTGTACCGTTGCAGTTATTAATCCCGTCTCCATTGAATCCAGATGGGCATTTGCAACCTTCTGTATGGTTATCCTATATGATAACATTTTAATGGTTAATTAATAAAGGATTTTATGCAAAAAAAAAATCATTTTTTTTGAACAAAAAATTCAAATTATTTAATTTTACACGATAATCTGTCATTTCCTGTTAAAATAAAAATAAGGACTTTTTGGTTAATTTGGGCGAAATATTAAATAATCGAGATTTTTTTATTAAAAAAAATTAGGATTTTATCAAAAATTTTCCCAAAATAAGGAGATTTTTCTGCATAAACCATTAATAAAAAAATGATTATAAGTTATACTTAGAGAGAGAACTAACAATACAGGCCGAGTAATTCTTGGCATCTTTGGTGCTTTTCCAACAACCTCCATTGTTTATTTGACACCATGGGCCCGCGGAGCTTCAACAAAAAATTACATATCTCAAATTTCAATCCAATATTATTACTTTACACATTTAATCACTGGATTTCAAAGGATAATTACAAATTATATATGCTCAGTCAAATATTGAATTTTATTATTGGATGAAGAAGAAGCTAATTACCTTCACAGTGTTTATAACCATCACCTACAAATTTCACACCTCCAACAATTGGACATTCACACACTCTCCCACGAAAAGTATCCTACAACAAATTAAAAAAGATAATTCATACACGAAAAGTGGGGCCATGTAAAGATAAAACTATCTCACTACCTTGCATGCTGTAATATTAGCAACTGTATCCATCCAGCACTCACCATTGTTGTTCAGACACTCATTGGTTTCTACTTCTGCAAATAAAACACAATAACTTATATAGGTCCAAAATTTATCAAGTGTAAGAAATACTTGAGTATTTGGTTAAAAATTATGGAGAAAATTTGAAGCTCTATACTAACCATGACTCAAACAAATTGGTGGCTCTGTGGTCTCTTTAAATCCTGAACAGATGGCTTTTAGAACGGCTTTTTTATCAAGTTTACCTCTATATTGTCTGTTGTTTATTACAAGAGTTGGCAATATTGTCACATCCCCACGAACACCTTTCCCTATCTTCAGATACACAAGAATATGAAGGATCATATCATCACATATGCAAACTACAAATCCACCAAAAAAAAATTATTTTTAGACCACACCTGTGCTTGTTGCTCAGCCTTAAGGATTGCATTTTCAGCATCTGCTTCTGGATCACCCATGCATTCTTCAATTTTCTTGAGATCAACTCCTAAGAAGCGCATGGAGTCAAAATTAGTCAAGGATTTAATCAGAACCATAACATATAGACATGCTTATATTTGCATGGACTAATTTATTTCATATGTAATTAATTTCTAGTAATCGTTCATTCAAAATCATAGAAAATGTTTGCACAACTCACCAAGTGATTTGATAAACATCATCCGCACAATCTTTTGTGGATTTATTCTCCTTCATTGAGCAATTTGTAGCAAAATCTGTCACAAAATCCCACCAAACCCACGGTTTTCCACTTTCATTTGCTACTTTATAAAAACATGCATTGCGTAAATTTTGTTCAACAACATCTTTTCCTTCATACCCTTTACTAAAATCTTGTTCTGGATCTGGAGCACAATATCTTCCATGGTTGATACACTGAGACTTGCACTTTGTGCTTGAAACATACTCCTCAGGGCAAAACCATGTGATATAATGTGGTGTGAATCGTGTGTAACCTTTTTTCTCAAGTATTTGAGCAACTCCTTTAAAACTTTTAACAAAATCTATTTGGGTATCACACTTGGGCCCACACTCATCATTGCTATTTGTCCAAAACTCGTATTCGACTCGTTCATCAGGGTGAGGGAGAGCTTCTCTCCAATCAAGATTCACAAAAACAAGATCGTTGTTTTCTAAAGCTTTTTTGATTGAAACCCCGAGTGAGTTGCTTATGAGTACTGAAGGGATTGTATGTTTTGTACGTAATCAGCTCCTTCTTCTTCTTTGGGTAAATCCATGGTGATCAAGTGTTCAGGTCTGTCATCTGCAACTAGAATAGCTGAAGCTCCTGCGTTTTGTGCATTCCATGCCTTGAACGTGAAGTAACAATCTGAAAATTCAAGAAACAGATGATCATAAAGAAACATAAATAGTATTATGATTTATTAGTAATATTATTTATTGTTATTATTACCACCGCGATCTGCAAGAAGAAAAACCGGGATGCTACCGGGTTTTTTTGTTATCAAATCATCAGTGAAGTTGTTGCAAGCAGTTTGATCGGTTTTTGGATATAGAACTACGCCGCTTAATGTTCCTCCATATCGAGGAACACCAAAATTACCAATTGCACATTCATATGTATCTCTTAGATTCTCAGGTGAAGTTATCTTCAAACTGTTCTTCTCCACCACAAAACTACACAAACAAGATCCATACATGAACAAAAACCAAACACAAATTACAAACCCTAACTTCTCCACTCTCATAATTTTCAATTTTATAAAGAGACTCGATAACGGAAACTTAAGCTTAGTCGAATTGGACAAAAGATTTTGACCCGGATGAGATGATCAAGCTCAAATGTATGTACTTAGGGAAACAAATGGTAAGAGTTGATATTGGAGACAATTTGAACCCAAATTTCAAATAATCTAAAGATAATCAAAATAGAAGTTTTTCTTCACGTTGATGTCAATTTCACATGGATATTTAGGTAAATTTTGAAGGGAAAAGGGTAAACGGCTCTCGATGAGAGGGTGTGTTGTTGATGCTATGTATAACATCGGAGACTACGATGATCTCTTCTTAACGAGTGGAATCGTGGAAAACAGACAACAGACAGCTCCAAGTTGCAGGCTTGCGGAGAAAACAAAACCGCCATTTAATCAAATTCTTTAATTAATTACGTAGTTCATCGTGTAACAAAATTCGAAATAGATGTCTGCTAAAAAAACAGGAACCGAACAAAATATTGATTAACAACTTAATACATATTTTTTAATTGAAAAGCTGAATTATTTATAAAAACTAAGAACCGAGATTTGTTTTTGGATACGTATGAAAATCACGGACTTATAAATTATAAAATAGACAATGAAATTAGATTATTAAAGAAATAAATAAATAAATAATATTAAACTATAATGAAATGATTATCAATATAGGATACTATTGTACTTTAATAAATAGGATTTTAAAATTACGGTAGTAATACTACAAATTTGAAATATAATGTTAATAAAAAATTAATTTTGTAACGGAACAAGTAGTGTTCGGTGTCACACTGTATTTTTAAAAAATAATGTTTGGATTATATTATATTAGATACCAAAATGCAATAAATTGATAAACTATGTACTAATGTTTAACAAAAATTATATTTATACGTATAAAATAAAATAAAAACATAAAATATATTATTAATATATGCTTTTATGTATAACAATTTGTTCATAATAATAATTTAATAAAATATTTACGTAAGTTAATGTTGTAACCATTGACTATATTTTTTAAAATTGACATTTTAATTAAAATGTAAATCGTTTAAAATGAAATTAAGGATAACAAAAATTAAAGTTTTCAATTTATTATATATTTGTATCGTGTAAAATTATGCCTAAAACCAAAAAATATCTATTAAATTTAATTTAAGATTTAAAAGAAATTAAAAATAGGTTTAAATAAAAAATGAATAATTAAAAGAAGTTATCTTAAGATGTCATGACATTATAAATAAAACTGAAAATTAAATAAAAACTCTAAAAATATGACATGTGGCACATTGATATTTTTATTATATATATATATATATATATATATATATATATATATATATATATATATATTACATTTAAACTCAACATTAGGTTAGCCTTAGTCTAATATAAACATTTTTCTTCATTAGAAATATTTTTTACGTTTTATATTAAATTCGAACCTTAGTTTATTATTATTATTATTATTATTATTATTGTGTTTTTTTTTGTTTTTAGCCTTTTTTGAGATTGCTGATCCTACATCGATACAATAAAAAATATGGATAAAATAAAAATAGACAAAATGTTTTTTTAAAGATTTATTAAAATATTTAAAATGTTAATGTTTTTTCTAAATTGCAAAATTTAAGTAAAGCAAAATCATGGCTAAACCAAGGTTCTAAATAACGTAAGGTGTGGCTTGGCGGCAAGGTAAAAGTTAAGCCATGACAAGCCTTAGCGAGCCATGACGTTTTTCAAGACGTGACTATATTATATACATTAAAAGATATAAATCATATAATTATTGAATTTTATCAAATATATGAAGTTTTTAGAAGTGTTATATTAATATCTAATAGAAAAAAGTTAACAAAAAACTCATTTATTTTAGGCCCGATAAAAAAACAATAAAAACCCGCGCCTTGAAAAAAACTCGCGCCATAACGCGATAAGGCGCGCCTTGACACGTTATTTGGGCGCCATGTTTCACAAACCCGCCTTTGACGTTTTCGTAACGGCTACACCACGCCTCGCGTCATGGCACGCCTTGAGGCGCGCCATGGCGCGCTTTTTAGAACCATGGCTAAAACCAAGGATTATCTATTAAATTTAATTTAAATTTTAAAAAAGAGAATGTAACAATGTGAATTTTCAAAACAATTTTTCATTTTAAAACATACTTTCATTCGTACGATAATCATCAAAACATAATGTGTCCATTGTAACAAAACAAGACATGTCCCAAGATCTCATATACATAAATCCTCTCAGTGTGTACGAATCATGCCGGCGCATTCCCGCGATCCTCGCTAGTACCTGAAACACATAACACAACAACTGTAAGCATAAATGCTTAGTGAGTTCCCCAAATACCACATACAATACATACGCCACTCGAGGCTATAATACGACCCTTCGGTCGATGTGTCTCAGCGGGACCCCCCCAGTCCCGTAGCTCGTCGGACCCTCTGGTCCAGTCATAGCTCGTTGGACCCATCGGTCCGGTCTGTATCGTTGGACCCTTCGGTCTGGTCTATATCGTTGGACCCTCCGGTCCGGTCTGTACAACACATAGCATACATATATCACAATGCACATAATCTCATACAACACATAGCACACAAGACCCTCCGGTCTACACATAGATACCACTCTAGGTAATGTATAGTGAGAAGACTCACCTCGTATGATGTCTAGTAACTCACGTGCTCGATATCCCTGAATCTCGAAACAACGACCTAGCCCCGCCTAATCACATAAAGTAATTATTTCAAATCATTAACGGCTCTCAAGGCTAGACTACATCCCTTTTCTACAATCCCACAGAAGGGTAAAAGACCATTTTACCCCTCCCTGACCCAAAGTCCAAATGTTGACCAAAACCCTAAAAGTCAACAAAAGTCAACTCTCCGGGTTACGCTGCCCGTACCAAACCTGTACGCTGGGCGTACCCGGCAACCTCACAGAATCGGGGAATGCAACCCCCTACGCCGCCCGTACTGGGATTACGCCCAGCGTAATTCCCAATTTCAGACTTCTTAGCTTTTAGGGTCTTAATCAGTTAAGACTCACGTCCAACTTCTAGATCTGACCTTTTCTAAACCTCTTAATCCATAAAGTTGGTGACTTTAAGCCTTTGCATGGCTGGACAAGTCACTAACACCCATAACATTCCATTTCCCAACTCTAGAAAGCTCATAACTCAAGCATGACTTCATAACAACAACCAAGATGGAAACTTTATGGATCTATAACTCATATATCACTGAAAAGGGGCAGATCTAGGTCTATGGAGTCCTTTATGCTCATAAAGTCTCCACCTTTGGGACTTTAACCGTAGAAATGGTCCATGAAGCACAAATCAAAATAACAAGAAAAGCTTTGAGCTTTATACCTCCAAGTGAAGCTCTTCCCTCTGTAGAACTCAGATCCAAGGCTTGCACTCCAACTTCTAGCCTCCACAAGAATCTCCTCTTCTTCCTTACTAACACACAAAGGCACTTTAGCTCCAAAAACACTCACACAAGCTTAGAACGAAGGTTGGCTCTCTTTTAGGGTTTCACTCACTCAAATGGTGGCTGAGGATAAGGCCATAACCTTCTTTATATAGGGCTCAAGTCTAAATTAGGGTTTTGCATCTGGGCCGGTTACGCCCAGCGTAACCTTGGTACGCCCAGCGTACCTCTAAGGGTCCGCGTCCATTTCAAGCGCATGAGTACGCGCAGCGTACTCATTTGCTACAACTTTTCACTCAAGGGCTAACTTTGACAATTTGACAAAAGAGAAGGGTTAAATAGCTGTACCTGAATTTCGGGATGTTACAATTCTCCCCCACTAGAACCAGACTTCGCCTTTCGAAGTCTCATGCTGTAAACATCTCCGGATGCTGCTCCCGCATCTCTGACTCTGTCTCCCAAGTCAGCTCAGACCCCCTCCGATGTTGCCATTGAACCTGAACCAGGGGCACCTCCTTGTTCCTCAGAACCTTGATCTTTCGATCCAAAATCGCGATTGGCCTCTCAGCATAATTCAGCCTCGCATCCACCTGAATATCCTCCAGTGGTACCACCCACGACTCGTCGGCTATACACTTCCTCAACTGAGACACGTGGAAGGTATCATGAATCTGACTCAACTCCGCAGGTAGCTCTAACCGATATGCTACCTTGCCCACCCTCGCGGTCACCCTGAACGGACCGATGTACCGGGGCCCCAACTTGCCCCTCTTCCTGAACCGGATCACTCCTTTCCAAGGAGATACCTTCAGGAGTACGAAATCTCCCACCTGGAACTCAAGCTCGGATCGTCGTCTATCCGCATAACTCTTCTGACGACTCTGAGCCGTCAGTAACCTCTGTCTAACCTGCTGTATCTGCTCTGTCGTCTGCAGCACTATCTCAGTATTACCCATCACACGTTGTCCTACCTCTCCCCAGCAGATGGGAGTCCGACACCTCCTTCCGTACAACAACTCGAAGGGAGGCATACCAATGCTAGAATGGTGGCTGTTGTTGTAGGAAAATTCAGCCAACGGCAAGTACGTGTCCCAACTTCCTCCGAAGTCCAACACACATGCTCGAAGCATGTCCTCGAGCGTCTGAATCGTCCGCTCACTCTGTCCGTCAGTCTGGGGGTGGTAAGCGGTACTGAAATGCAACCTCGTGCCCAACTCCTCGTGAAACTTCTTCCAGAACCTGGAAGTGAAACGTACATCTCGATCTGACACAATCGAGATCGGCACCCCATGTCGTGATACCACCTCCCTCACATACAACTCTGCCAGCCTCTCCGCAGAAGAGCTCTCACTGATAGCAAGAAAATGCGCGCTCTTCGTCAGCCGGTCGATGATCACCCAAATTGCATCGACACCCCTCGCGGTCCTCGGCAATTTGGTGATGAAATCCATGGAAATCTGTTCCCACTTCCACTGGGGAACCTTAAGCGGCTGCAACTTGCCA